CCCAGCTGCTATCCCCACCGTCGTCCCCACTGTTGTTTCCAACCCCGTACCCATTCCAGGCACCGGCGCCCCATCTCGTAGCAGCACCCCTCAGTCCTACAGTCAGACACCCGCTGACCGCGAGGGTGCAGAGTCCCCCCTCTTCCAGTCCCGATGCTCCTCTCCGCTCAACCTGTTGCAGTTGGAGGAATCCCCAAGCAACCGGTTAGAGTTCGCCACAGCCCTGGGAGCATCACAACAAGCCACGCCCTCTGTGCAGGGCGGTGCGGCCGGGGGACAGACCTCAGCCAATCAGGGGAGCTCTGATGATACCTCCAAGGAGAATGAGAATGTAAGTACACGCAGATTGGATGTTAAGCTTTGAAAACCAATTTAAATCTGGTCTTTTTTTCATGAAAGTCGACTTGTTTTAAAACTTTGCTCTCTTTTTTTTTGTCCCGTTAGGGTGAAGCTAATGAGTCCAACCAAGATGCCATGTCCACCTCCAGTGACCTGCTGGATATGTTGCTGCAGGAAGACTCGCGCTCAGGCACCGGCTCAGCCGCCTCTGGTTCAGGGTCCTCAGGCACAAGGTCCTCCGGTTCAGGCTCCGGCTCCAACGGCTGCAGCTCTTCTGGCACCAGTGGCACCAGTAAGTACATGTTTAGTATTTGAGGTAGTAATGTAAGAGGGTCACACTGACAGTGACGTTAGTTAAAAGTCACTCTGCCTACTTTACACCTTCCAGGATAATAAGTGTCAAGAGGCAATTTTCCCTGAGAGACCACTTTGAAATATATTCTTGTACTTCAAAACATTTCCTTGATAGAAAATTAAACTAATCATATTCTATTCATAGGTCTATTCTCAGTTAACTCTCAACTTTCCCTTCCTTGTTCTTCCAGGCGGCAGCCATACAAGCAAGTACTTCGGTAGCATCGACTCATCAGAGAACGATCATTCTCGCAAGCAGCCAGCAGGGGGCAGCAGTAGTGGCGGAGGAGAAGGTGGCGAGGAGCAGTTTATCAAGTGCGTCCTGCAGGACCCCATCTGGCTGCTGATGGCCAACACTGACGACAAGGTCATGATGACATATCAGCTACCTGTCAGGTAAGACACTGGGAAAAATGTGACCATACAACACAGACTTATTGTGACTAAACTGACTCAAATGTCAGACCTACTTTTGTTTGTTAATTTGAATGCTATTAACTTTTCATCGCCTATGTTTTTAATGTATATCAACTCAGTAAAGATTAAGATATCTATAGATTCTCTCAGAATGGGATGGGTCAAACATTAAAACAAGCTGTAATAAAAAAAAGAGTAATATATAGAATATAAAAGAGGCCTAAATCAATGAAATGTATACAATAAAAATAATAAATTTAATTCAGAGTGGGAACATATTGTTCTCACATCTGCCCTCCATTAGACATATGACTTATTGATCAAACTAACTAGACGGCAGGTTTTCATTGACTCTTTTCCCCTGTGCCCATATAACAGGGACATGGAGACTGTGCTGCGAGAGGACCGCGAGGCCCTCAGGAGCATGCAGAAACACCAGCCACGCTTCACCGAGGACCACAAGAGGGAACTGAGCCAGGTGCACCCCTGGATCCGTACAGGACGCCTGCCCCGAGCCATCAACATCTCTGTAAGTACACCGCAACTCCACCCTGAGCTGTAAGGGTTCAGAGTTATTGTACATAGCATGAATGCAACAACACATAGAAATGGAATTAAATCATTTCTCTCTCTCTCTCTCTCTCCGGTTCCTCTCAGGGCTGTACAGGCTGCAAGTCACCCCCCTTTGTGCCTCCCACCGCTCCGTTCGACGTGGAGATCCATGAGATGGAGCTTTGCAATGTGCTGAAAGCTCAGGAGGAGGGCGCCAGAGAGGGGAAGAAAAATCTGTCAGTGACGGCCATGGATGAAACTCACCCAGAGGATGAGGATGAGGAAGACGAGGCGGAGGAGAAAGAAACCAAAACACAAGACAGCAACCAGGAGATGCCAGCAGAGGAGCAGAGGGCGAGCTCAGAAGCTGTGAAAGAAAAGTCTCACATGACTCACTAAGAAGTTGGCCAAAGATAAAGAACACTATCACGACCTTTCCACGCTGATATGCAGAAAATGTGCACCTTCCGGGACTTTCTGTGCCCAAAAAACATCGTTACACAGGGTGTAAAGTTGTTAAAATGGGTGTTCTGGGACATTACGGTGCATATTGATCGAGACAACTTCCATTTATTGTTTGACAGGTCAGGCAGGACACTTGGCCCAGTTAATACTTCATCAACTGTGACTTTGATGACAGCACACCAGGCATGTTGTATGACTGCATATTAAATGCCTTGGAAAAACCACAGGACAAGCACACTCAGTTTTAGAGAGTGAACTAGTACTTTTTCTCCTGTTCTTGTAGTTCTTGGCGTATTTATTGAACTTGTAAGATAATCAGAGAGGACTACGGTGAATGTGTTCCAAAACAAAAAGGAAAAAAAAAAAAAAGGCGCCTTTCTATAAAGATGGATGTTCTTCACCACAGTGTCCTCCTCAACGTTTTCACCTCTCCTGTTCAGGGTTCAGCTCACGGGGAAAGAAGGGAGTTTAATCTGTGACTTTTCTTCTTGTTGAATGTTTCCTAGGTTGTCTGGGATTCTGTTCCCACCTAGATCCTGTTTCTCTCACAGACTCGGATTTAGTTTTTTTTATGTAAAAAGTTTGTCCCGACTACAGAAAAAGCTACTTTCACCCAATAGACAAAATGTACAGCGAGAACCAGGTTTATTTTGTAAACATTGTGTATATTTTTATACTTTAAACCCACTGCAAATAGAGAGGATAAATGCCCAAAATAGTGTAAAAAGTGTATGTCAAAAATCAAGGATGAAATATTATCTGGCAGAACACAATCACTTCACAGTCACGGAAAAAAGGACATGGTGTTTCACGTGACGCAGCGATTTAGTTGCTTTACTTGAGCGACGTACAGTGAAATCACGGAGGGAGCATGGCAATCGCCTAGAGACTGACCTGGACATTTAAAAAAAGGTCTCTCTTCGGCCGGGCATTAGTTCTCACAACCATCACAGACAGTATTTCCAAACTGCCAGCACCCTAAAGGAAGCTGGGAAGCCTTTCAGCGGAGGGAGAGCTTTTGCGTTGCCAGCGCTCGCTCATGTTGGTAGGTGGATTTGAATGAAAAAAAAAAAAAAAACGTGGACATAACTCATAAGAAGTCTTTGAGAGTTCGGAGAGTGTTTACTATCTTCTTTCCTCTCTGTCCCTTTTCTCTGTGGCACTGTTCTGGTCATGTAATATCCTATGCTTTATGGCGTCAGTGGTGTCTGCAACAGTTTAATATTTTTGTGAAATTCTTTGTACAAAAAAAGACAATAAAAACAATATGAAAATCTCTTGAACTTAAGGTCTGATTTTTTTCCCCCTCCAGCAGTTAGTTTTATGATTACATCTCTTTACAGTCTATTTTTGTCAGTGGGTGTTTTGCAACAGTTGGCCTGCGTACACATGAGTGTCCAGAATGAAGTGGAAGCAGAGAGCAGATGAGGGCAGCGACTTTCTTTACAGAACCGCATTCTCCTTCTGTACAGCTGTGGTTTCTGCCCAGAGTGGTCACCGCAGCTTAAAAAAGACAAAAGGCATGCCCTCGTTTAGACAAACTGCCAGGCTGACTTCATTGCACATTATGATTATAACAATGACGACAATGATCGTAATGTACTTCGGTCATTTTTGTGAGAGAGCTTGTGTTAATGAACTAACTTGAAAGCATATTTTATAAAGTCTCATGAGTATTGAACCTAAATTCCCTCCAAAAACAAAATCCACTGCAGTAGTGTTCAGAATATTTCAGGTCTTCCATTTTAAGTTCTGTTTTGGTTGAATACTGTATTTTTCATGCTTTACTGCATTTAAACTGAACTCCTTCAGCTACTTTATTTTTCCCACCACCGTGAATTCTGTGGAAAGGAATTTAATCCTCATAATAACCTTGCAGGGTAAATTGTGCGTGTGTGCGCTGGTAACGACAGCATGCTAATGTGCTCACAATGAAAACGCCACAAAGCACATCTGAGGCTAACTGGAAGATATTTGGTTTATAAAATGCTGACTTATTGTCTATTAAAATAAACAGCTCAAAATATATAGAAAGTAAGGGGGGGCTATAAGAAGCAACAACACCTCTAAATCCAGACAGACAAGAAAGAAAAACAAATTAAAGTATATGTAAGTATATATATATATATATTAATGTCTCATTTGATGTAATGAATGGCTTAATGATTTTAGATGTTAATGTGTTTCCTTTTCTTAAACATTTTAGGGATTTGAAACAATTAAAGTGAATCTTTCCGATCTGATGGTGGCACTAGAAAAAACAATCAGAGTTCACTAAACTTTAGTTTCCTGCAGCGCCACCATGAGGTACAAATGTGAACCTCATGGTGGCACTGCAGGTAACTAAAGTGAAGGTTTTTGCGGTAGGTGTGTTCAGTCAAAGCAAAGCAAATGATCACCTCACATTATTTGCACAAATTTGACCACTGGACCATTTGTG